CCACCACCAATACGCCCCCTTTCTATTGATACTATACAAACTCAGCGTGTGTAGGAGTGTGAAAACTATGTGAAAGTAGGTCAAAAGTTAACGGATAGGATATGCCATGTAAAAGGTTCTTAGGGGAGTTCGGTCATCTCCTTTTGCTTTTCTTTTTTTTTCTGCCAATTTTGGGAAGAAATGTCAGTGTCTTTCATTCCACTTAGTAAATATAAATGCAGATAAGCCAATTTTCTTTCCTTTATTATTCGTCAGATGTAATAAAATACAACATTTCCTTAAAAACCTTTACCCCCTTTTGTGAATGCAATGCGTCGTCTGCAGAGCTCAGCGTCTGCCACCACGCTGGATGATTCTCGCTTCCCGGGAGCTGAACAGTTAATGCCGTCTGAAAATTTTTAGGGAGGGTCAGATGAAATAGATAGGGACCGTGGCATTTACAAAGTTTTACATGGTGAAGCTGGAGTTTTGGGCTAGTTTTACTCGTTTATTTAAAAATTCGCAATTTACTCTATCTTTCAGTAACTATATGATACCAAAATATTTTTCTGGCATCTTGATACATTTTCCCCTTCTGCCTCCCCCTAAAATGGTCCACACTAAAAAATCAATAATCGGCAATTGACCTACTTTTATACCCATGCAGCTATTGTCGAGTTTTGAAAACGTGATACATGTCTGTGATATAGAAGTTATTTCTAATTACATTATTTACAAACTGTGCGTGTGAATCAAAAACGTTCCGATTTTTGAGCAAAAGGGTAAAATTACATTTTGAAAACAATGAAAAAATTGGAGATAGGTCAAAATCAGAAAAAAAATGCATTTTTTCTCTTATATGCAAATTAGGTCCCCTGAAGTAATATATGACTGGCCGGAAGTGATGTTCATATCAGAGATTTGTAATGGTGATGATCTTGATGGCCTTGATGATCTTAATGGTAATTTTAAAAAACCTTACCAAAGTTTGCAGTTGTCGTCTGGCGAGAAAGAAATTTTCTGCAATAACACAATCATTCCACGAGAGAAGAACATAGGCCTATATTGCACCTGCCTCAGAGATGCGCTGCAGATGTCACGGCTTTTAGGTGAAAATCGCACGCGATAATATTAGGTTATTATTACGATATATAGTCTAGGTTTAAAAAAAAACTGCGTATCTAATGTTTCCAAGTGAGTGAAAATGGATATCGGCAAACCAGTACATTTTGAATGCATTTCTATTTATTTTCTATTTATTTGTGTTCGACAAGGGTGAATTTAATTAGTTTTTTTCTCTCTCTCTCGCTTGCTCTTGCTCTCAGGAATATTTCAAGACAACTTGCAATTGTATAAATTGATAAGCATCAAATAACGTGCTTCTAATTATGTTCTTGATGCACAAATAAATTACGCTCAAACTGAATACCGCCTTGACTTGTGTCAGAATTACCTTTTTCATAACACAATAAATTCTTCTCTTACTCTTTAGATGCGGAAAATAGACCTGTATTTAGGTTGTGAATAAACACAACTTTGTTTGGCAACATATGTTCAGTTGGAAGAACTTGTTTATTCTGCTTTTTTTTTTTTTTTTTTTTTTTTTTTTTTTTTTTTTTTTTTTGAGAAGGGGATAACATTTTTTACATCGCATTTAGTGAAAATAAAACTCAAAGATCTCCATTTCCTTCCCTGCACCACATATTTTTTTTAATTTAAAATAAAACAAGAAAAGTTGAAAAATGGAGTAAACTTTGAGTTTTTTCTATAAACATCTCAAAAGGTACCTATATGTAATACCCGTGAAAAGTCAGAATTGTATGAGGCTTTCACTTTTAAGATTAAGATTTTTCTGTTAATGTCAGAATGCGAATAAGCTTTTATTATTTTCCTGTAAAGTTCTCTTTTGGAAGAACGGAGGGAAAGGTCTTCACACTGTCTTATTTGATGTAAAACTTTTCATATCGATAGCCGAATGTAAATAAACATTACGTTACTTCTAAGTCACCGCTGTAATCATATCTACTGTAAAAATACCCTTCTCATGTGGAAAGATGTGTGATGCTTATTTCCCAAAAATCGAATTCTCTAAGTCATGGACAAAATTACGATTGTGACTGACGTTTATTTATCTGCAAATCAAGCCGGTGTGACAGGAATGGTAGTCGTAGGAATGTTAGTCCGGGATCCCATATGATAAGTACAGATTAGGGTTAGTCGGAGTTAGTTGGGGTTAGTACATGGAACGCAGGGGCAGATCCAGGATTATTTGAAGATGGGAAGCCGACCCTCCCCACCCCACCCCCTTTGGCGTGGGTTCAGGGGCATGCTGAAGGGCCCTGAAAAAATTGGTATTTTAGAGGGCGAACAGTGCCATTTTGTAGGGTTTAGAACTATGATTCAGCTAATCAAAATTCTAATTTCAGGACCCCCCCGCTAAATCTGCCACTGCACAGGATAGCTAGAGGATATCTATGATTTGTTTTTTTGTTTTTTTTTTGTTTTTTTTTTTGTTTTTTTTTTTTTTTGTATTTGTTTCATTTAAATTATCCATTCATTAGAGTATCGTGTTTCTTTCTTTTTTTTTTTTTTTTTGATAATAGCTAGTGGCATGAAAAGTAAAAAAAAGGTATCCAGTACGGCTAGTTGAAGGAGCTTCAGGTCAGATCTTTTATATATTCTTTACCAGTACTTACTCTATAGAAAATGAATTTGTAAATTATACATGCCATTTCAAAAAAATGTATATATGAGTCACCATTGAGAAAGGAAAATGCCGTAGATAATTGTTACATAAGTCAGATGAAGATATGACTTTTGATTTCCAGTTAATGTGAACAGTGATCTTGGTCACTGATCTAAACATGTTTATGACATAATTTTTTCTAATTGAAATGCAATAAAGTACTGTAAAAGACTAGAAATTGTATTGTTGTAATAAAAAAATGCAGATACCTTACAGAGGGCAACAGATGGGAATAGATTTTGATTATACTGTATGATATAAAAAGTCTGATGAAGAGGTGTTAGGATAGGACTTTTTTTTTTTTTTTTTTTTTTTGAATGAATGAATGTTTAAGTTGAAGGTTGATATAACATAATCAGGTATAAAGTATAGAATATATTTCAGTCTGTTTATTAAATTGTTTAACCAACTGGGTTTTTCTAGGATTTCAACAGCTTGACTACTTTTTTAAAATGAAAGATTGGTTTTATTCAAATTCGAAATATCTCAAACTTAAAGAAGCATTATTTGCCATGATTATCCATGAAACTTTGTCTTCTTTTACAAACTTGTATTCTACTATTTAAAACTTGAGCACGAGGGTCAGTAAAAGAAAGAAAATTCAGAAAATACTCAAGGCATATTTTATTATCACAGATCATTGAAGTTATTTTTAAAAAATGTCTATTTAAAAGTGAATGAGATCATTAATGGCAGTATTTATTAATAAAGAAAGGAGATTCTGGTCACGTTTTTTGCACTGTTGCAATGTATTAAATAGTAAGGCAGTAAGTATGTTCGTCTATATAAAAACACTTCTGATCCATAAGAAATTTCAATACAAAATATTTTTATGATTTTAAATCTTTTTTTTTAATCATAAACATGGCAAAGTTCTGCAATGGGGGTATGAGGCTTCCATGAGTCTCTGTTTGATAAAAGTTCTTGCACTATTTCTGGAATTATATCACTTAGTAAAAGGTTCCACTGGCAACAGAGCACTGAGTTTTTTTAAAACTTAACAAGCTGTTTCTTCTCCTGCCTGTGAGCATCCTCTCCAGCCTTATTTGCTGAGAAAAGTAGGCAGTAACCATACACACAAACTGCCTTCAGTGTCTGGAACACAAACAAGTCCTCCACCAGTGCCACTCCTACCAGAGCAGCCCAGTTGTACACAGTGCTGTCACTCAGCTCTCCGCCATACACAATGGTGAGATATACTGCCACAGCCATGGAGACGACCAGCAAAATGAATGCTGGATAGATCAAAAAGTGGGGCAACTTTCCGTCCTGCTTTCTGTTGACCATCATCTCCAGTGACTTCAGCTCAGTGTATGGCACCTCATCTGATGGTTCTGGAACAGATTGTGTGGAAATGAATTATTGCCAAAAGTATGTGGAAGTTTAACTAAAAAATGATGCCGGCTAATATTACCCCTGTTTAACATCACAATCACTGTTTTAATTATAATAAGGGCAAGGAAGCTTATGTTGAAATCAATGCTCTAAATATCTTCAAAATGTAAGCTGAAGCTGGATAACATGAAAATGCATTATTCTTTTTTTTATATATTCATTCCTTTTTAAAATAATTTACTGAAATGGCAGACACTGATGATACCAAAATGGACAATTACCTTCCCAAATATTAACTGCTACATCATGTGCATTGTCTTTCCTCTTGCTGTTGTCTAAAATTGCATTAAACAAGGGATATGTAAAGGGAAATATAAAAAGTTATTTGTTTGAGCCATATATTGCTACTGTTGAACATTAATTAGGAAACAGTAAATCAAAATTTTAGGATGTTACATCTGTTCTACGCTATCAAAAAGGATTAAAAAACATCATCATATAGACATGTCTACAGCATAATATAATGGCATACTTATATATATATATATATATATATATATATATATATATATGATTACCTAGGATGAGAAAACTTGGGTTGAAGTGAGCAATGAGACTGTAAAAAGATGAAACATCTGCATTTCTGTAGCTGGAAATCTTCCCAGCATGGGATTTTGGGATTTCTGCCTGCATCTCCTTTTGCATATTAGAGTTTAGCCTAGGGTTGTTAGGAGGAGGAGCATATGTGTAGCTGGGTGTTTTCTGAAATATTGAAAATCATCCAATAATTGATTCTGCTGACTGGTTAATATAGCCAAAATATTCCACAGATGGGGACATTTATTCTTCTGGGGGTTTGATGTTGCACTATAATACCTCAATATGAGTATAATGTCTTTTTATGTTCTTGTATATACATATGTGCTTGTAAGTCAAGCCAAATATATTGTCAAACATAACAGAAATGATACAAGTGTCTGTTTTTAATTACAAGAAGGCAATACATGTATGTCTCAAAGGCAATCCATGATATCTGTACAGGCACATACATGCATGCACAAACTAAAAATAGAAAAAAGTAATAAATACCCCTTTCTTGTTGTCCACATCTCCCATGGCAACCATATCTTCCTTGACAACCAAATTTTCCTTGGCAACCATTTCTTCAATCTGTGCCATAGCCTGGTGTTCAACAGTTGCATGTGCCAAATCATAGTCCTTCTCAAAGTCATAAGCCACCTGTTTCATCATGGTCTCCACACTTCCATGCACAACTTGTTGGAACCCATCACTGATTGTGCAACTGAAAAAAAAATATCAATCTTTCTTCAATCATGAAATATTGTAAAAACAATTAGTATTATTGGTAGAATAACACTTTGACTATAATTACTAACTCCATTTACACACTCTAAACATGTGTCACATTAGCAAGAAAATGTGAAATCATTTCCATACTATTAATAGTCTACAAAATGGCTATGAGCAAGACCCGAGGTCAACTTCCAAAGCTAAAGACAAATTTAACTTTATTCCAACATAACTGTGAAATGAGGAGTCTTAAAATGAACACAAAATAAACTGTCTCCTTACATGTCATCATACTGAGGCTCATCTTCCAGGTTCTGCAGCATGGTGTCACCAGTGTCTTCTCTGTCATAGCACCTGATATTGTACATTGCTACATCATATATGCCATTCACAAGGAATGTTCCTATATTGACAAAGAGGCTGGAGAGGAAGATACCTCTATCAAGCTGAATGACACCAACAGCACTGAGAAGGGTACTGGTAAGCAGCATGTTTGCAAACATGTAGTTCAAGGTGCTGTTAAACCACAGAAGGACAGGGGCCAGCTTCAAGCTGGAACAGCGTGTCCATCCATGACAGGACCACAAATACAGAAGGCAAGTTTGCAGTCCAAACCTGAAAAAAATTAAATTTATACAAAATATCTAAGTACGGACATTCTACATGAAAATTACTACGAGTACATTCCATGTTGAAGAAAAACTGAATACTACATTAAAAAATCAGAATATGTATCATTATTATTATAATTATTATTATTATTATCTTTCATATTTTATTTGTTGATAACTTGTAAAAGCAGACATTTCAAAGTACATCATATGCTTATTTATCAATTGTGAGAAAGTCTCCAACTTACCTGTAGTTCTTACAAGACTCCAAAGTGGTGTATCCCACTGTGAGGCATCCATTGCTGCTGAAGTGGGATTCACAGCCAGATACTGTATCATATACTGTTATATCCAGCACATTCCTTCAATGAAAGAAAAATAATAATAAGAATTCACTCAAATTTCTTTATACAAAATANTAAATTATAAATCTTTCTTCAATCAAGAAATATAGTAAAAAATTAGTATTATTGGTAGAATAACACTCTGACTATAATTACTAACTCCACTTACACACTCAGAACATGTGTCACATAAGCAAGAAAATGTGAAATCATTATAATACTATTAACAATCTATGAGAAACAGCTATGAGCAAGACCTGTGGTCAACTCCCAAAGCTAAAGACAAAATTAACTTTATTCCAAAATAACTGTGAAATGAGGAGTCTTAAAATGAGCACAAAATAAACTGTCTCCTTACATGTCATCATACTGGGGCTCATCTTCCAGGTTCTGCAGCACAGTGTCACCAGTGTCCTCTCTGTCATAGCACCTGATATTGTACATTGCTACATCATATATGCTATTCACAAGGAATGTTCCTATATTGACAAGGAGGCTGGAGAGGAAGATACCTCTATCAAGCTGAATGACACCAACAGCACTGAGAAGGGTACTGGTAAGCAGCATGTTTGCAAACATGTAGTTCAAGGTGCTGTTAAACCACAGAAGGACAGGGGCCAGCTTCAAGCTGGAACAGCGTGTCCATCCATGACAGGACCACAAATACAGAAGGCAGGTTTGCAGTCCAAACCTGAAAAATATTTTAATAAATTAAAAAATTTATATCAAATATCAAAGTACGGACATTTTACATGAAAATTACTACGAGTACATTCCATGTTGAAGAAAAACTGAATACTGCATTAAGAAATCAGAATATGTATTATTATTATTATTATTATTATTATTATTATTATCTTTCATATTTCATTTGTTGATAACTTGTAAAAGCAGACATTTCAAAGTACATCATATGCTTATTTATCAATTGTGAGAAAGTCTCCAACTTACCTGTAGTTCTTACAAGACTCCAAAGTGGTGTATCCCACTGTGAGGCATCCATTGCTGCTGAAGTGGGATTCACAGCCAGATACTGTATCATATACTGTTATANAAAAACAGTCATTTCAAAGTACATTATATGCATGTTTATTAATTGTGAGAAAGTCTCCAACTTTACCTGGAGTTCTTACAGGACTCCACAGTGGTGTATCCCACTGTGAGGCATCCATTGCTGCTGAAGTGAGATTCACAGCCAGATACTGTATCATATACTGTTATGTCCAGCATATTCCTTCAATGAAAGAAAATTGCTGCTTTTAAATATCTGTACTGAGATGCTAGCTTACAATTTTTTCCATTCTGTCAGTGTACATATTAATATATCTAGATAACTCCATGAATATAGCTTTAACTAGGCACCCAAGGCATTCATAACACAAATCATATTTCAGAACATTGACAGAAATAATCTTCATAATTTGCTTAACTTTTTTTTATAAATGTAGTACTATGATGTAGTGATGTTTGTGATGTTGCAGTTTGTTCTTTAAATTACCATTGAGCTCCTGGTCTTCCACTGATGTTCACCACAACATTCTTCAGTTTTCCCAGAGACTCTAAGTTTAAAATAATAACAAAAAAACATTAAGTATAATGTAAGCATGTTGTTTAGGAATAAAACAGGCATCAAATATGATAAAGTTGTAGTTTAATTGTAAAAGTAAATTTAGTTTAACAAAACAAGACCAACAGCGCCTTGTTTTACAAACCTAAAAGGATTCTTGCACCAACACTCTCAAAATATGCTTTACTTTATAATAAATAAGCAACATGCATGGAGCTCTGTAAACATAATACTATATGTAATAATAATGTTAGATATATGTAATAAAGCTTCTAATAGAGATAAACAGTAAACTGTGACCTGATGTTCTAGTAAAGACTGTACATGCTGAATTGATTGCAGTAAGTAAATGGTAATTAATTGCTAATAATATTGTTGAATCAATATTTGCAGGCAATGAAATCTATATGTGCTCCAAAAGTATTCAAGATGTTTACCTTTGGTATACAAAAGGAACCAGTTCTTCTGTCCTACCCCAAGGAAATTGTGCTTTTTCCCATGTTCATTCAGATTGTATTCAGGAGATACCCCCTGGTCTCCTTTCAACTGCAATCTGACTTTGGGCGTCTTTCCTGCTATTTAAAACAACATACGCATTTCTATAGTTAGGAATAAATACAGTTAAGCAACGACTTCAATAATAATATACAAAGGCAAGACTTGTCATTGGCCTTTATCTCTTTTTCTATTTTTGTCATTTTTTATTATTGTTATCATCATTATCATTATCATTATTATCTTTATTATTATTATTATTATTATTATTATTACTATTATTATTATCTGAAGACACTTAAACATTTTTATTTCACAAAATAATAACTAGTTTAAGCTTTTCAACAAGAATCAGAATCAATAACCTAGAAGATCTAAAATAGCATCACTCTTACCTCTTTTCAGCCCATTTTGAACTGCTACCATGTATCTATAGTGATGTTCACCAGAATATTTGGGAACAACAATGATACCACTCTGCTTTCTCTGAAATGATAATGACCATTAAAATTATAAGGCAAAAGAAAAGAAAATAAATTATGACGTTGATTACAGTTGAAACAAAATGATTTTCAGTTCTTTGCCACAGTTGCTTATTTTATATTTTAAAAAAGTTAGTCTATTACAGAAATTCCTGAGAGAAAGCTATACTTTCATATGCATGCAGGCCAAACATAAAGTTTTGTTTTAGTACCTTCTTCCACTTCAGCCATATAATAAAGCTCATGGTGACAAACATGAGTCCAGCAAAAGCATATATAAAGGCGTAAGTAAGTCTGTTGTTTTTCACAAACTTAGGAGGCATTTTCAAGGTATTAGCTAGCAAAGAAACGAAAGGATAGAGCTTAGAAAATGGAAAACAAGGAAGCAAATCAAGGGCAAGGAGAATTAATAAAAAGCGTGGTTATTTTAAATAAATAGACTATTAAAAATAGTGAAAGTAGGGTCTAATAAAAATGAGGCTCAAACTAAACAAAACACAAAAAGTGGGTTTTTGACTATCAAAATACATGAAATAGTGACAAACCAAATAAAAAAATCAAAATTTTTGCTAAAATGAATGGTAAAAAAAAATAAAAGATGCCAAAGAGTTAAATATAATTTGATGATATTCTTACCTCCATGGAGAGGTTGCATGAGTAGCAACATCAACAGAACTTTGACCTTCAAGTTCTTCATAACGGCAAAATTCTTTTTATATGATCTCCCTGTATCAAATAATACGAAGCCGTGTATGACAAACACGTAAATTAAAACAGAAGTCGCGATTCAGCGAATACACGAGAAATTATCGATATCTCAAAAACTTTGGACGGAGTTGACTTTAACTTCCGCCCAAATCTCACAAATGTCTGTTGCTAATATTGACGTCACAGACACAATCAGCTCACGTGACCATTGTGCTGGGATGTGCGGTTGTGACATTTATACAGCCAACAAATCGAAAAAAAGGTTCACTAGCCAAATATTGAGGCTTTAAAGAGGATATCTGTGGTCTATGTTATCTTTCGCATTTTGAATTTTATGCATGTACTGGTAGAGCTACTAAAAGAAAAAACACAGCAAGGCTGGCTACACTAAAGCAGCTAGTAGTAGCATACGGGGCATTCAACAGCTCCGCACTTGGGTCATATATTATGGGTAGGCTAAGCCAACTCAGATTCCTTTGTCTGAAATATAAAGCCGTTTATATTTCAGACAATAAACTTTATAAATCTAAATTGTTGAAAAATAAATATGAGTAAGTGAAATAGAAAATAGAAAGTTTTGAACCGTTTATTCACAGAGCATTTTTTTTTTTTTTTTTTGGTAACTCACGGTATGACTTAAGGCTTTTATATTGCAGTGAGGGGAGGTGAATACTGCTGCCCATATTTAACGTCATCTGGGAACTACACCAGAACGTTCTACTGTTCAGATTACTGCTGCGGTACATCTACCGATAGATATTGCTGCAATTCAATTAGCATGAGACACTACTAGAGTTACTCTGACAGTTCGCTGTGTCCTTCCCCGACCCGGCAAGGTATTTGCATTTGTCTCTGAATTTCCAAAGTTCAAGTGGTTACATTACATGCACATCTATAGGCTGATACTACAGGTATTAATAAAATTTTAATAAGTGGTATGGTTCCCGTATGCAATGCATGGGACTGGGT